TGCAAATTATTTCTGCTGTATCCATAAACAGACCTGATATGTTCGTTCATTTGAGAAATGGACTATATCTTCAAAATAAAGTTTGTTAGTCAACTTAGATATGTATTGTAACAGTTCATTTCTGTATTCTAGTATCATTTTATCTGTGGTGAAACAGAAAGTAAGACTTCCCCAAGGAGTTATCAAAGAATATTATATGTGCAAACAAAGAGATTAATGTGTTATCTTGTTTCTTTAAAGCCAAATATGCTGCATCCTAGATGGTTGTCAAAAATATAGTATTTTCTTTCTTTCTTTCTTTTTTAGCTAAAAAGTTTCTCTTATTTTTCAGAAAATCTCTATTTACTTCTACAGAATGTTATTTTTGTAATATAAAAACTGCACCAAATTGGTTCCAAATTCTATGTTCTGCCATAAAATGCAAAAATGTGGCCGTTACCACATATTTGATGTGTATCTTTTTGATAAACAAATTATAAGCTGACATATAACTCCCCTGAGAAGTCTTGTCATACTTAATTAGAGAATGCTACAATTAGCTAGTTGTCCAAGAACGATTTACACCTATCAGGCAACCAGTATCGAAAGTAAAACTTGAAATTATTAACTTCCATCCAGACAACATCTAATGCTTAAAAAAAAGAAGAAAGAAACTATCCTACGAAATGTGTTAAACTTGGTTTAAAATAGTAATCAATAATGGTCCACAGAAGTCAGTGCCTGGTTGTTAAAAAAAACAAAGCATAGCATTCTCTTTTGGTTTCTTAGTGAAGGGAACTACTACTATTTTAAGTCATTTTTCATCAAGTATGAATTGACATCTTTCTTGAAAGTAAAACAAAGCTTAGGCATTTCCTTCTGGTATTCATCATCAAGGTTGTATAGTTTGACAGGAGAAGAAAAAGGGGCATAAGTGAAGGTAAATAATGGCATCCCAAGAAGTGGCTGCAGCAAAGGTGGCATCGATTTTCATATATCCAATCAAATCCTGCCGTGGAATTTCTGTCTCTGAAGCACCTCTTGCATCCACTGGTATGAATTACACTCTTGTAACTGTACCAACCTTATCAATTTCAAGAACATGCTTTAGTGCTGCTGTTTTTCCTGGTTATTTTGCAGAGATGGATGAATGGGAGAGGATGGCCTCATTGCATGTTTATGCTGTAGTTGAAATTTCTAAATGTTGCATCTTTTGTCTGCTGCCAGATTAATTCACTTCCTTCTGTTATTTCAACTCTGGTATTATAGAATTGAGAGAGGGTAGGGTCCTCATCACCCCACAAAACCAAGCCAGTGTGGTATTACTGTTAAAACAAATTTTCTAGCAACTAAGAGCTTAAGAGTTCTTTGTTGTTGACAAAATATAAAAAATTCCATCAATTGAAAAAGGAAAAATTATTTCTTTGGAATATGGCTCAATGATCTTCAATCTGTTAAGTGTGATGTTGGCAAAGAGAAAATTTTCTGTGTCAGGTCAAATTTGCACAAATAAATCTTCTATGGTTCCTTTTCTGTTTCCATATTCTATAGCACTGTAAATTCTGAGTAGATGATCCACACTGTAAATTCTATAGCATTGTGTTCTTGAGTTTTCTTCTCCTAATTCAGCTGTATTCTATTTCGTTAAAGTTCTTGATAAGATGGAGTGAATCAGATGATGCATGCATTATCAATATCAAACTACTTTTTCGATCTCTATGAAATCTTTATTCTTTTGATTTTCATTTTGATAAGATATTCGATTCAAAAGTAAAGGTCGTTTTTCTGGCAGAAATTTGGCTTACTTTTCTTCTGTTTAAATTTACTTACAGGTTTTAGGTGGGATAGATTGTGGATGGTTGTGAATTCTAAAGGCAGGGCATATAGTCAAAGAGTTGAGCCAAAACTTGCTCTAGTTGAGGTAGAAATGCCAATAGAAGCATTTTCTGATGTTTGGGAACCAAATAACAATTCCATCTTAGGTGAGTTCTTGATCACTGAGAATACATATATAATACCTCTTGATTAGGCTGTTTTCATTCCTCTTTTCTGCCGCCTTCCCCTTGTCCACTCTTGCAAGTTCAACAAGTAAATTGCTTAAGATCTTAATACTCCCTGTTGCTTTCGACCGTCGTTTCTCTTTTTCTGCGCAATGTGGACCAAAATGTTAGAACAATGGCAGATCACCGATCGCTTTTTTCCAATTGGAGTTGTGGTAACAGCTGAGAAATGAAAGAAACGCCTGGAAAGAAAATTAAAAAATTAAAAAATCAAGAACAGTTTTAATTCTTTTGTGATTTCATTTAGTTCAGAGAGTTGGTTTTGTTCCATTAATGCAAGGTAAAAGAATGATTGTTTAAAGTAGCTGCAGATTTAGCTGGTGATCAATGTTCTCTTCATCCAACAGTTGTCAGGGCCACAGGCATGGATTTATTGAAGATTCCGCTGGCCGAACCATCTACAATAGCAGATGGAGTCTCAATCTGGGAGTGGGCTGGCGGGGCACTTGATGAGGGAAATGAAGCATCAGAGTGGTTCTCCAGATTTCTTGGCAAACCAAGTCGGCTAGTGCGTTTTAATGAAGGTAGCACTCAGTTAGGCAATGAGATTTAACTTTCTACCTCTGGGCAAATGTATATGAACTCATTTTTGGCAACATAAAATGCTGAGAGCTAGGCTGCTGCATACAAATCAGAATGAACTTCAGCATTTGGTTCTTGATGAACTAACATTTCTAGTCCTTTTCTGTTATCTTTGGATGTTCAAATTGTCTTTGTTTTCCCTGTGTAATTTGGCTTCTATCATTTCTAGAAATTTATTGCATTACTCTGGTCTCAGAAATGCACCAATGTCCAGAATTAGGACTATCTTTTGTATCTAAGGAATAGAGATGATAATTTTGAGAAAGAGCGAATTTCATGTATGCGTGCTTTATTACCAAACTCTTGCATTATACCTTTTTTTTTTCCCCTGGAAGTCTATTTTCTGAAGCTTATTTATTGAAATCATGCATCATTGAAATGTATTTAAGTCACAAAATGAGACAGTAATTTGGGTTTTGATTAATCATGCAGCATCAGAAACCAGGCCTGTCTACTCTGATCCTGTCCGCAGTTATAAGATTAAGTTTAATGACATGTATCCTTTTCTCCTGGCATCTCAGGTTAGTTAGTGAGACTGGTACAAATCGATATCTGACCAAGTAGAAGTTTTGATCTAAGAATTTTTCATTGGTTGTTCTGCAGGGATCATTGGATGCATTAAATGATCGTCTGGAGGAACCTATACCCATGAATCGGTTTAGACCTAAGTATATGCATGCTCGAACCCCTTGCTCTCCTGCTCTTGTTTGCTTCTTTCAGTTTCCTTTCACTTTCTGAGTATATTTGTACTCCTTTTTCCTATATGCTTCATAACCCATAACCCATATTTTACCCAATGCAGAAGAATTCAAAAGGCTTCAAAAATGATGTTTTTTTTTGTTTTTCAGTATACTTGTTGAAGGATGTGAGCCATTTTCTGAGGATTTGTGGAAGGAGATCAGCATAAACAGTTTAACATTCTATGCTGGCGAGCTATGCTACCGCTGTAAGGTAAAAGTAAAACCTCACTTTTCTTCAGTTTTGTTCTTGATCAGTATACTCAGATTTTATTTGTGAAGACTAATCAAGTATAGGTTCTAATCTGCCCTGATCATTTTAGTTGATTATCGTGTAACCTTTTCCTTTCTTCCCCCATCCCAACAAGTCCTCGATTAGAAAGTATTTTAGTTTCTTTATTGCTTTCAGAGAAAGAGAGAGAGGAGTGGCAAATTGTAAACAATCTTGCACCTTTTCTCATTACTGATCTTGGTAGTGAACTCACTCCATAAATTAAGTTTCAGAGGGCTCAAATATGTATCCTGAACCTTTGCCTAGATAGGAGGCCCTGAGATAATGCTGGAGGATTACCTGCTCTAGAAGTTCACTGCCTCTTATCATGCTGCATAAAAATTGCTCCAATCAAAAAGGGGCAAGAAAAAGATTAAAAAAAAGTGCCATAATACATATGTTTGCTGTCAAATCTGTATTTGCCATTTCCGTAGCTGTTTGTTTAGTTGAGGTTAGTGTTGCGAAGGTGCACAGAGGAAGTAACAAAAGTATGCTATTGCACCTATAAAGACTTGACATCTGAATCTCTCTATGAGTTTCTAAGCTCAGAAATCTTGCCTCTTACTATTTACAGATACCAAGCATCAATCAAGAAACAGCAGTAGCAGGTTCAGAGCCCACGGAGACGCTGAGAAAGTTTCGTTCAGACAAAGTCCTGTGTCCAGATAAAAAACCACAGGGGAGGGTAAGCATAAACAAAACATTGTCATGGTCCTTCTAGAGACCAAATCCTGATACTAACTTAGCTCGGATCTGCAGGTTTACTTTGGAAAAATGTTAGTTTGCAAAGATTCACTTACTCAATGGAAATCGAAGAAAATACAAGTGGGAGATCCTGTTTATATTCGCGAATTATTACCTTCCTATAACGATGCAGCAGCTTGACCTTAATATGTTCCATGTACAGATTCTGCCCACTTGCCCTGCCTTGAAACCATGCAAGTATAATGGTCAAACATTTTATGTTTGCAAAGATGTGTTTTAAACTGTAACCCTTCGTTATATGTTTACCAGTCAAGCTAGTTGTAAAACTTTTCATCTGATGTTAAGAATTATGTGGTTGGTTTGTGGAACACTTTTCCTCCATTGTTGGCTCGTATGTCCCCTGGTAAGGTGATCATAAATTTGATATTGAAGATCAAACCATCCAAGATTGTTTAATATGGGTTCATGAGTGATAATTGAACTCCAAAATCAAGTGACAGTTTGCAGCTGAACTCTTGGATACACAAGCAAATGATTCAGTTATCTGTTCCATCTTTTTATAGCCACCAATTTTGCTGTTTGTAGATAATAAAATGGTAGGGGATCGATAGTATAAACTTCTGATTTACAATATGATCCTAGACAAAATAAACAACAGATGCCTGGTTTAGTGTGCAAAGTTCAACATTGAAAGAAAAAATCACTAACACTTCAGGAAATGCATGTTACACTAAACAGAAGTTGTAATGGAACAACAAAAACATTAAAACCAAAATTTTTCTGTGTTTCCTTTGATTTAATTGCAATCTACAACCCTGTAAAACCGTTACATTGATGTCACAACTCTCGTGCATTTAGGATGCTATGCTAAATCTTGTGTAAACATTCACTCTACAGTGTAAAATCAACTACGTGTTGTTATGCCCCTCTGGCCTATGAATTAAACAGGGATGGAAGCCCTTGAGTAGGGACTCGTTATGCATCAATTGAATCACTATGAAGCCTGCCGAAGCATCTGCTGGAGTTGAATGACCTGTTGCTGCTGATCAGGTGGCAGTGAACTTACTTGCTCAGGTGTTAGAAGAAGCACTTGCTGTAGCAGAGCAGTCTCCACATCAGGAGGAAGCTGTACCTTGAGAATGAGAAAACCAAAGTCTTACTACAATTAAAGAACAAACCAAGCCACCAACATTCAATTGTTCATAGTTGCCACTGAAAAAGGTCACAACTTATAAGCACCAATTTTCAAATGCATAAACTACTGGAGTCTTGCGGTCATATTCAGCAAAGAAGTTACACTCCAACTCAAACTGCCGTTTGCATAATGCCACGAGCCAGTCTATTTACGCAAGATGAGACCCAATAAAGAATAAAAATGAAGTCTGGAAAGATATGGCAAGAATTTATAAAAGATTCCAAAATTTAACTTATGACTTGTACCAAAATAGATGGAGCTCCAGTTAACTAATCATCAATAGATATATGTGTCTGTAACCAATGCCATGTTCAAATCTCAGTTCGTACTTAATCACTAGTTCCATTTTGTTCTTTCATTGCTATATTAAATTCCTAAGGATCTTACAATGATGTTCTAAGTGAAACCCTCAGTGAAGAAAGCTGATCATATTAAGCAAAAATTTTCCATCTATTTTCCTAGTTCAGTGAATTTTCCAATTTGACAGATATAAGGCCATAAGCAATTCTCTAGAATACTATGATCTCAGTCATGTAAAGACCTTCAGACATAAGTTCTCAAATGTACATAAAACTTGATTGAATTTCTACTAACAGAAAAAGAAAACACAGCTTGACAATCTAAAAAATAGTTTCCAGTTCAAGCATAACCTCAACAGAATCAGCATCCATACCCATCCTCCGTACACACCATACATAATTAAAGTAGTCGTACTTTTGAGAAACTGACTGTGCAGGATCATAAATCTCTAAATTGTAGAAAATGGATGTAAAATAATAATCCCATCAGCAGATACCTGAACAGCTTGTTTTTCAGATACAGAAGCTTCTTCTACTTTAGGAACTTGGTTTGTAGTCATGCTAAAAGTCTGAGATGGTCCAGATGCAGAGGTTGCCATATTTTCATCGGTGGGCGAAGGTACAGGCCTTCCGTCATTTAACCTAACCAGTTTTGATGGCTGATTTGTTGGATCTAGACTGTCATTGACTCTTGAAATCATAACCTGTCCGCGTGGATCTTTATTAACGCTATCTTGTATGCCAGATAACAGTGAAGAACCATGCTGCTAGCAAAACAGATACATACAAGAACCACAAATTTACATTTACAAAGATAGTGTTGTTCCAAATGAAAAGGCAAGAATGTAAACATCAGGATAAACTTACAGCAAGGTTAGCTCTTGCCAAGTCAAATAGCAAACGTTGGAAGATAGCAACAGTGAAATTTAGCAGATGTGAGCATTTCTACTAGAGAACTAATCTCAACAAACCAAAATATTCATCAGTCAAACTGATGAAAAAGTCAGTGTTGTCATTAATGTGTTACATCATTTGGGTCATGGAGCATACTGGTTAAATCTACAGGAGAAAAAAATCAAATAAAATGTATACTGTACTTAAGGTATAGATTAAAAGCCACTTGAACCAAGATTTTAAGATTGACAATTTGAACTCAGCAAACATATCATTATGGTTGATACAACACATGGATTAATTAGACCAGTTCACTTGCAATACAATTCAGTATAGCCCTAGACACTTGGCACTTCAGATCAGCCCACTTGGCAGATATATTACAACCAAAGGATACAAAAAGAAACAAATCATAAATTTCCTCCAATCATGCCTTCTAGGTCATCACCAATTGCAATGTATCTACCTGTCTAGGGGGAGAATTTAGAAATAAAGAAGCATGATGTGGGCTTTCTTACTCCCCGCATCCCACTGTAAATCTAATCATGGCCATCTGAATCCTATCTTTGGACGGAAGAGATACTTCAAGAAATTTCAGAAGTCAAGATCATATATAACTCCTCCAGATCTCAATTAATACTATTTAATCTGAACAGATTATAAGACTGCTGGTGGAATATTGACTGATTACAGACTAGATCTAAATTCAAAGAATCCTAGTTGCTTAATGCAAAAAGATGTTAAGACAACAGAAATCAAATAGGAGAGACAAATGCTACATCTCTGCATTATCTGGTTGGATTCAATTTTCAAATTATAGTTGTTAAAGGAGTCGAGACTCTCCCATATATGACCTTACATCAATTCGCAGTCTCACTAGATCAAGACCAGTCAAACAAAACCTAAGGAAAGCTTATATACCAATCACAGTTGGTGTTTTCTACAGTTGGGCACACAAGAAACTAAACTGAAACTTGCACCTGAAAGCCTTGATCCAGCAGCGGTGGCTGTATTGATTGAGAAGTTTGAATAGATGCTGCGGTAGCAGCTGCTGTAACTTGCCCTAAATGTTGCATCTGAGGAGGAGTTTGCACGTGATGCTTCAAAGAAGAGGAAGCTGCTGCATGAATTTGCGGTCTAAATGAGAAATTGCCCTGAGATTGAGGGCGTATCAATGAAAGGGCTGGATTTCCAGACTGAATAGGCAATTGGTTCTGCTGCAAAACTTTATTCTGCATAGGCTGTGGAAGCTGAATTTGAGGTTGTATAGGAAACTGAGTTACCGAAGCATGCTGGTTATTCAACATAGAATTTGGACGACTAGCAGAAATTGCACCCTCTTGTGCTGTGGGCAACAAACTGTATTGCCCTTTATTCTGTGGAAGAGGGGGGAGCCCAGGAACATTTTGAGTTGTTAATAGTTGATTCTGCATACCATCTTGCAGTAAAGGCTGCAATGGTGGAGCAGACACCTGCCTAATGTTGGGCATCTGCAACTTTATAATTTAAAGAAAGAGAGGAGAGAGAGAGAGAGAGAGAGGAACAAAACATTCAAATCTCATGCTCAAAAGATTCGAAGCTCAGTAGAAAACTATAAAACTAAAAGTTAATCGTTCAGGGCAACATGACAAACCATGTGTGGTGGTACTATTCCCAGCATTATCCCTGCCTGCAATGACATCACAACCAACCTTGTAAAGAAGCAAGAAAGTCAGAAACAGATAACTAAGGCAAGAAAAGGAGTAGTGGAAGACAGGCCATAGCAGAATAGATCAATTGCTCAATTCTAGTCATCTTCACTTGATGTAATATATTGCTGTAATTGCTTTTTAATCCTTGAAGAAAACCTCAGAAAAAAAAAAAGCACAACTAACGATGAAGTGACATGTAACAAGATACTTAAAAGTAACATCAATAATAGTGGTAGTCATAACTAATATGCCTATATGGAAAGAATAGTGTGTATCCTTGATCCCCAAGTACTTGATACCATAAATAGGGTACTTAACACCAAAAAGAATTGTTTCATCTCCGTAAGTATGTTTAATTTTTCAGAATCTAAATTATTCTCTCAACTGACCAAGGCATTTAAGAGGTTTTGAGTGATCTGCTCAAGATAATAAAGGATTATTTGCACCCACTATTTGCTCCAGCTTGGATACAAAGTAAGAAGGCATCGTCACTGCCAATTGAAAGCAAGCTACCTTTGGTGGTCCTTCAATAGTTTGCTTATGAAACAGTTTCTGGCATAATGCCTGAGGGAAGATTTTCCATTACGATGCCCATTCCACCTAAAGCATTCTCTTTTGTTCCTTTAGTGTACCACAAAATATCATTCTTTAATTGCATATATCCTTCAAAAAATTTTAAATAATATATCCTTCAAAAAATTTTAAATAACAACTCCTTATCACATAGATTAACTCTCCTTCCCACCATATCAGGTACAATCCTCAAGAGCCACCAATGGCAGACAGATTTTTCTCTTGGCTTATTTATATTCACAACAGTATACATATGCAGAAGTCTATTTTTACTGGAGTTCCTCCAGATTTCAAGCCAGAATCAGCATCGTTTCAAATGTTGTTCTTGAATTTCCTATGAAATTCAACTCCTAAAATCAGAAACTCTTGATCAAGAAATCACTTGTAAAACATTTAGGAAATTAGAATCCTAAATTGCCTCAAATGCTTCTGACAAGATTTTCCTGGATTACACATCAAAATTCTCTCACCAACCAGCTTTTTGCTCTGGAGAATTCGTTCTGAAAATCACAAGCTTTGCAAATCGCCCAGTAACCATGGTTTAAGTCATAAACTATAGCTCAATATCTTAGTTATTCATTTTTTATGGAAAAAAAAAATCCTCCCTCTATTCTTCCTAAATTTCAATTAATGAGACAAACTCAGGTATATACACACAGCCAAAGTCCTTGCAGAAATATCATAAAACTGTAAGAAAGCATATTCTGTAGCTGCACAAGACATAAAACAGGGATCCATTAATCTCATCATAAACTGACAGAGGTATGGAAGATCAATGAAAACCTGTAAAATTGCTTTAGGCAAGTGGGGGCATGCAAGTAACAGTTGACGAGCTTGCTCCTTGTTTTGTGTAGCCATTGCCTGATATGAAAATGAGAACAAAAACAATTTGATACATTAAAAGTTATCCAAGAAGTAATAAGCCCTCACTCGAAAAGATCTCCCCCATTACTTCACCTTGTGATGTGCACATGCCAATTCCTAAAGTTTATATGCAGAGTTTAATCCTTCACTACATGTTTCTCTAAATTTGTTGACATAGTTCTATTTTTCTTACATATAAAGTCAATCAATGGAGCAAAGGCGGTATAATCCATATACTGTCATTCTTGAATTTGAATGTTATCTAGTCTAGAGTCTCTAGACAGAAAGTTAGACCCTTTGCCTGGTTAAACTAGCTTATCAGGTTTTTGATACTTCCTTTGCAATTAGATGTGCATGTTGAAAGAGACTAGAATTTCTCTAGTTTCTAAGTAAGTTTTAAGCCTCCTTCATATTCTTCTGCAAAGAATATCCATAACTCAGAGGGAATACATAATAATCTAGGCTTTGACATTCACACATAACTTGCTCAAGCAGAAAAGATTTTATCTGAAACTGACCTTCATCTCAGACATAAGCTCGATTAGCTGGCTTCTTGACATTTTGGCCAGATGCAAAGTTAAAGGATCACTGCCCAATGTTGGCTGACTAGGTATACCAATCTGATTGGACATGCCACCAGTCTGAGCAGCACCAAGAGCTTGTGCCATGATACTTGCAGCAGTCATAGCTACAGAGACACCTATTGGCTGAAGAAGACTGGAATCCTTGAGGACTGCTGGTCCCCCAAACTGTTTTTGATTATCTACAAATACCAAATATCTCTAGATTATGATAACTCAAGATAATTTAGACTCCAGAATTTCTTTGCTCTATGCAAGGGACAAGTGTACTGATAGTCCAGAGAAGCAAGTAAAGATGAAACTTACCAACATTTGCAACCATTCCAGGTCCACCACGGCCCTGCAAGGAAAAAGAGTCAAAACAAAAATTAGCTGAAATTGAAGTAAATTTAGTACCCTGCAAGAGGAAAAAAGTCAGAGTGTTCCTGATTGCCCCATCCCAAATTCCAGTGTTGGCTGATTTACCATATGTTATCCAAATTTGTTGTATCAAACCTTTAACTATCTAGAAAAGAATGAAAGGATCCTCTAAAAGGCCTCAATTTCTTAAAGAAAAATTTCTGCTCACCCCCTAAGGGCATATTAATTTTCCATACAGTAAGAAATAGAATTACAACCAACAATGATCAGGATAATTAACTAAAAAGAACTATTTTATTTCAATATTTCCACCAGTTCATAAATTCTTTAATATACTGATATACCCACCCTAGTAGTTGGCCAGTCTTGTCTTTAATCAATGAGTGAATATACAAGCAGCAAGCATCTGGTTCGCTGTAGTTGGTGTTATTAATCTGCAGATGCTTCATTCTTCATTTGTGGGCAATTAGACCTTGCCCCTCTCATCTCTATATATACGACAGCTTGACAAAATTCTTTAGGGCCAATAAACTGTTTTACTTTGGTTGTAGACTCTCTAGTAACTACTATTAAAGCCCTAAGACTCTTTCAGTGAACGAAAATTCCCGGTAAAAAAAAAACAATTTTCTACAGGTACTAGTACATACCTGTTCGCGATTCCTGTCAGCATTTTTATCATTTTCAGCAAAATCAACACGTAATTGTCGTCCGTTTATCTCGTACCCCTGAAGATTCCGGCGTGCACTCAAAGCCGTCTCCTCATCCTTATACTCACAAAATCCGTAACCTTTTGGTTTCCCAGTTTCTCTATCAATTACTAATCTGAACTAAATGAAATAATAAGTTATAGATCACTCAAACTCTACTAAGATTAGAATAAATAGGAAAAAAGTAAAGACACAAGACACACCACATCCCTTTCCTATACATTTACTAGCTTTTAACAATGTATCTTAAGCAATACAGTTGATTTTCCAGGCCAAGGAATTCTAAGATCCTTTCCATGTAATTTATGTGTTTGAAGATTAATGTCATCCCAGCTCTTACTTTTCAAATCTACCCAAAGCTAAACCATTGCATCAATATGGACTAACAGAAAATTGGTGAGCACGCCACTATAGAAGAACTTACCCACTGAACAATAAAGAAGTAGCTTAATCAATTCTGTCAATAAAGTCCATGCCATGCCAAACACGATCTACCAAATATTCTCTAGGTCAGGGAGTTATCGTCTGACTACAAATTCAATATATCTTTGCAGCTCTGCTGGAGGTGGAGGTTGCAACAATATAAACAATCCTACTATGTCAGATACCTATCATGTTGCATACAATTTCCAGTACTATGCATCAAAACACCTCCTTTTATCTATGCTCCTTTGAAGGTCCATTTTTACCCAAAGCCACTCTTTTCTAGGCGAGCTTATACATGTCAAAAACTGAAACAAAGCCTAGCTTGACTGTTTTCCCGCAAAATATTCTTAAGAGAGTAGACATTGCAATTAAATCTACAGATTCAGCTATAAAAACCTTGAGACCAAATCTTGACTTTAAAATTCTCCCAAATCACAAGCAACAAGAAAGAACTCACCCAATTCGAGGAACAAAGAGCAAATGAAAATATCACAATATCAAGTCCAATGATAAAAAATTTCTTCTTTTAAAATTTTTGTTCTTTAGATGCAAAATGAAAGACATTCAGTTAACCTGGCTCCAAAAAAAATTAAAAACAAAAACAAAAATGCTTCAATTTGTAAGATGAGGGCTGCCCAACACACAAAAGTAAATCATATCTTCAACCCATTTTGCTCGTTTACAATATTTTTCACTCTCAATACTATTACTAATTGAGTTTCACCTACTCACATATTTAACTAAATTAGCATCCAACACAGAAAAAAAAACCCACAAAAATGAAAAGTAAAAAAAATTCATCAACTTAACACAAAAACATCTAAACACATCAAAAGGGAAAAATAGAGGAAGCTGCAAAATGAGGAATTAAACAGAAAAAACAACAGACCTGAAGGAAACAACAGGGCCCACCTCCTCACAAATTTCTTTCAGCTGTTCTTCAGTTGCATCATAAGGTATATTCCCAACTGCCAAAAAACCCGAAAATCAGAACAAAAAAACCCATTTATCAAATTCCCAGTTTCTGATGAATAACAGAATTCCAATTGAATCAACTTTGCAAAAAAAAGGTTCGAATATAACCATGGAGAGATAGAGGGAGAGAGGGGAACTAACCAAAGACGCAGCGGTGCTGAGGGTGAGAAGTTGCCATTAAAATTCAATAAGAAAGCTAAAAAAGTAAGATTGAGAAGAAGAAGAAGAAGAAGGTGAAGAAGCTTTGAGCATGCAGCTTCATCATCTTCTTCCTCCTTTGAATTATTTTATTATTCTTCTATTATTGTTGCCATAGAAATCCTGGTGAAAACATGCATCACTACTCTACTTCACAATCCCAAATTAACTTTTGTAACAATTTTATTTACTACCAAATTATGAAATTAATTCACTGATTCCTCTTTTCTACCTTTCCAAACAAATTGTTCTGAGAAAAACCCAGAACTCTCCCCTCTGTAAACGTGTGTGAGATGAGTTCGTGTTTCTGGCGTGGGCTATTTTTCAAAGTGCAGTTTGCTCTCGAAACTTTTGCCTTATTGTAGGTTGACCCTTTATTTTTTAATACTGCACAAAGTAGTCCTTATAGTTTTTGACCACTGACGTCGAGAATAATAATGCATTTTAGCTTTATAACAATTTCACAAGCAATGTTGGGGTTGGTTGGATGGTACGGAGAATCGAAAGAGAGATTGATTGGATGGGTCGAAAAGCGCATAAGTGAAAGATTTTGAATTTGAAATTTTTCGATTACAAAAAAATTATATATAAAATAAAAAAATGATTGAAAATTATATTCATAAAAAAATCTAAAAATTTTTCTATGAAAAAACTACAAACCAAAAAAGGCATCAGCCGACAAATATGACTTTTGGACCAAAGTGAAAAGGAAAGAGAGAAAGAGTAATTGGACCTTCAAATATATTTGTGTGAAGTTGGAGATTTAATTGGTCTGAACTAAAATGCCAAGGACCAAATTGAACTCAATTAGCCTTCTTTTTCCCTTTCCTTCTAGACTAATTGAATAATTGAAGAACTTTTCCATCATAATTGCCATTAATCACTCAAAATTAAGAAAATTAATTGTTCAAATTTGTTTTCAGGACATTGTGGGCCAAAAATGTAACTCAAAAGTAGGCCTGTCAACTATCCGGGTTTAGACCCGGGCCCATCCCGGATCCGTGAAATTATTGCTGGTATGAGTAGGGATTTAATTCTATTACCTGGACCCGGATCCAAATCCGTTTTGTCAAACAACAAAAATGGGTCGGATACGAAAAATAGTATTCCGATCCGTATTAGACCCGGATCCGGATATAAATGGATTAATAATTTAAAATATGTATATTTATCAATATAATTTGATTAGGGTGATGTATTTGAGTAAAGTCAATTTGATTTATTTTCTTATTTGATTTTTTTTGTATTAATTAGAAATTAGTGTACAAATATATTTTTTTTCTCATTTTTATTAGAAATTGTAAATTTTCATAATTTTTTCGGGTTGACCCGGATCCGGATCCGGAACATAGAGTAGAAGACCCGTCGAATAAACGGATCGAATCCGATTCCGATTTGGTATGCCGGGTCCGGGTCCGAAATAATAAATTTCGACCCGTTGACAGGCCTACTCAAAAGGGGAAAAACTTTTTCCTTTGATTTGACCCAAGGAAAAAAAATAAAGAAAACAAAAGAAAAGCCAAACTTGGCAGTGGACTGCAAAAGTTGTCAAAAATGAGTTCTATTGTTTTTCCTTTTCTATATTTTGTCAATATTCAATTTCACCTAAAGAAGAAAAATTGTAGGTAAAAATCGGTCAAAGCGTCTCTCACATTTTACAAAATACTTTTTTTCGTCCTTTACTTTTAAAAATATTCTTTTATATCCCTTACAAATTCATATTGGTCAATTTGATCCCTACCTAAATTTCTGACTAATTTTTGGTCGAAATCCACCACATGCCTTGCACATGATCATTTTTTAAGAACAAAATTATTAAATCAAAATTTACATAATCCGATCCATAGTCCTTTATATTTCATAAAATAAATTTTTTCGTCCCTCACATTTCATAAAAATGAATTGTTTCCTCCCTCACATTTTACAAAATAATTTTTTCATCCCTCATTGATCATGTGTATGAATAAATTTTTTTTAAACTCATGTATATATCTATTTAATTTAACCTGAACAATACAAATAGTATATAATATATCTATATTTGATTTCGCCTGAACGTATTGCTCAGGTAAAATTAAATAGATGTATATATAGGGTTTTAAAAAATTTTGTTAGTTTTTCACTCATATTCATTTCCTTTTACTCGAAAATTGAAAACAAAGAAAACATTTAATTCTAAACATTATCAAATGTTTATAATGAATTAAATTTGGATAGAAAAAATAATTAAAGGAACAGTATAACAAAAAGAAATAGGTGATTGATACTTTCAAATTTTAAAACAATCACACAATAAGAAATTCAACTGTTAGTCTTAAAAGTGATGAGTATTATTGTAATTTATTAGTATGACTATAACACTTGAATTATGATCGATTAATTAGATGGTCTTATTACGCAACTCAATAAATAAATTATTATCAAAAGAGAAAAGGTCACAAATATTGAAAGGATTCATATAGTGAAATCAAATAGATATACACGGGTTTAAAACAAAATTGTTAAATTTAAATCCATGTATATATCTATTGAATAGTATGTGTACAACTATAATTAGTCTGTTTAGATGAAATCAAATAGAAATATATTATATATTATTCGTATTATTCAGGTGAAATCAAATAGATATATACATGGATTAAAAAAATTAATCGTATGCATGGTCAATGAGAAATGAAAAAATTCATTTTACAAAATATGAGGAATGAAAAAATTTATTTTGTGAAATATGAAGAACGAAACAATTTATTTTGTGGAATGTAAAGAATTATAGATCAAATTATATAGACAATTTTACTCATAAAAAAATGATTATATACAAGGCACATGATGAATTTCAATAAAAAACTAATAAAAAACTTAGATAGGGACCAAAATTAACTATTATGAATTTATAAGGAATATAACATTATACTTTTAAAAGTGAGGAACGAAAAAAAGTCATTTTATAAAATGTGAGATACTTTTGATCATTTTCCCAAATTATAGTATTCACTTCACTTTTGTGTTTATTTTCTTAAGGATTATTATCATTTTACCCCCTTAAACTATATCACTACTAGCAGTTTATCCCATAACGTTATTTTTTAGTCATTTCACCCCATAAGTAATTCAACTCAACATGTTAAGAAATTTTGGATAAAAATACCCTTTTATTCTATAGCATTACTACATTGTTATTATTATTTTATTCCTTTAAATTATAGTGATATAATCGATTTAATTTTTTACATTATTTTTTTGAAATTTTATTTCAGCGTTAATCTAATTAGTATGGTCAAAAAATTTTAAATATATTTACCCTTATATAGATAATTAAAAATAAAAATTTAGAATGATTATTCTTCTTTTTTTTCACGTTAAGAGATCAAAAAATATAAAAATAAAAAGATTTTCTCAAATTTCTTTTTTCACACTTATTAATATTAGAAAAAGAAAAAGAGATAGGAAAGAAAGAGACAGAAAATTAGATTTTGTAAAGAAAAAAATAAAAAAAGTCTAACATTATCATATTAATTTAAGGTTGTTGGAAAGGATTGAAATTTGGTAGTAAACAGCAAAGTGAAATAATTTTAAAATAATAAAAGTATTTAATTCTTTCTTATTTGTATTTTCTAAAAAAAAGAATTGAGCTCTCTCTATCTATCTCTCTTTCCCTGTCTCCCTCCCCTTTCCTATCTTTCTATTTTTTTAATATTAATAAGATTGTCGAAAAGAAAAAAATTAATATTTTAATCTTTTTTCTTGATACTAAAGAGGAGTAGAGTTACTCTAAATTTTTTTTATTATTTTTATTATACAAAGATGATGGTACTTTCTTCTAAAGTTTTTTAACTTGTTAAGTTGGTTTAATAGTTGGATAAATGTCTAAAAAATAACTCTATGGGGTAAATTGATAATGAGACTATAGTTCATGGGGATAAAATGATAATAAGTTTAAGGGCTAAACTTGTCTTTCTACTTTAATTAACAAACTCCGTTAAGTTTAACTATTAGTTTTGAGAGTAAAGTAACTAAAAGATAATAACCTTTTCTTAAGGGGGAAATTAATAGTGGCGCGGTGGTAAAGTGATAATAACCCTTTTCTTAATTTCTTTACTTTGAGTGTTGATGCAGAGGGAAACTCGAGGTTCAGTCGCCCAGGTGCTTCAAAAATCCGGCACCCGCTCTCTCCTCTTCTCCTTTCCCACCTTCTCCGGCCTCTTTTGATTCCATGAAGCTTGATTTCTATCAAGAAAGCTAGAGCCGCCCATAAAGGCATGCCCGTCAAGGCCTTTGCTTCAAAGCGGCTTGGCTTCAACCTCACTTCAATCCCTCGTAAGTCTTCTCCCCATTTCTTGATTCATTGCCCCTTTTCAGCTCTCCCAAACCCACTTTCTGAAACTGAAGGATCCCACGAAAAAGATGATCTTTCCATTGATTCCCCCAATGCTTGCAAAGTTTTTAATCCACCCCAGAAAGTTACAGGTGAATTTAGAGTTGATCAGCCCCCAATTTCTCATAAGCTGTTTAAATATGCTCAGAAATCGGGTTCTTATAAAAGGGGTGATTCCACATTCTATTCGCTTATTGAGAACTATGCTAAAAATGGGGACTTTAAGTCTTTGGAAATGGTTTTTGGTAGAATGAAAAGTGAAAGGAGAGCTTTTGTAGAGAAGAATTTTATAGTAGTTTTTAGGGCTTATGGAAACGCCCATTTGCCGGAAAAGGCGCTAGAGTTGTTTGCTAGAATGGTGGATGAGTTTCACTGTAAAAGAACTGTAAAGTCTTTTAATTCTGTTCTCAATGTAATAATTCAAGAGGGTTTATATTATCGTGCATTGGATTTTCATTCTTATGTTATTAATAAGAAGGGTATTAGGCCGAATGTTTTGACTTTTAATTTAGTTATTAAAGCAATGTGTAAGGCAGGGTTGGTCGATAGAGGAGTGGAGACATTTAGGGAAATGCCATCTTGGAAATGTGAACCGGATGTTTTTACTTATTGTACTTTGATGGATGGGTTGTGCAAGGAAGATAGGATTGATGAGTCGGTGGCATTGTTGGATGAGATGCAAATAGAGGGTTGTTTTCCGAATCCAGCAACATTTAATGTGTTGATCAATGGGCTTTGTAAAAAAGGCGACTTGGCTCGAGCAGCAAAGCTTGTGGAAAATATGTTTCTTAAAGGTTGTATTCCAAATGAAGTTACTTATAATACTCTTATACATGGTTTATGCCTTCAAGGGAAATTGGATAAGGCAATTAGTTTGTTGGGTAGGATGGTAGCAAATAAATATGTTCCCAATGATGTTACATATGGGACTATTATCAATGGCCTTGTTAAGAAAGGAAGAGCTGTTGATGGTGCAGACGTCTTGATGGCCATGGAGGAAAGGGGGCAGCAGGGAAATGATTACATTTACTCAACACTTATTTGTGGGTTGTTCAAGGAGGGGAAATCTGTAGAGGCACTGAATATGTGGAAGCAAATGATGGAAAAAGGATGGAAACCGAATACAGTTGTTTATAGTGTTCTTATAGATGGTTTATGTAAGGAAGGAAAACCTTTTGAAGCTAAGGAAGTTCTTTCTCAGATGGTTAATATAGGTTGTGAACCAAATGCATATACCTATAGCTCCTTGATGAAGGGATTTTTCAAAAATGGCAAAAGTGATATGGCAATTCTAGTATGGAAAGAAATGAGAGAGAGAAATTGCCCCTATAATGGAGTTTGCTACAGCGTACTTATTCATGGACTCTGTGAGGATGGGAAGCTGAAGGAGGCAATGATGGTGTGGGGGCAGATGTTGGGTAAAGGATACAACCCTGATGTGGTCGCTTATACCTCAATTATATATGGCCTGTGCAACAATGGTTCAGTAGAGCAGGGCTTGAAACTTTTTAACGAGATGCTTTGTAAGCATTCTGATTCTCAACCTGACATAATCACTTATAACATACTTCTTACTGCTTTGTGCAAGCAAGATAGGATTACCCGTGCCATTGATCTCCTGAATAATATGTTAGATAGAGGATGTGATCCTGACACTGTGACATGTAACATTATTTTGACAATTGTAAAGGAGAAAATAAATCCATCTCAGGATGTGACAGAATTTTTGGATGAGCTAGTTTTACGGCTGTACAAGCGACAAAGAATTTCTGGAGCATCCAAAGTCATTGAAGTGATGCTTCAAAAGTATCTTCATCCCAAAGCACGCAATTGGGAACTTATTATTCAAGAGTTGTGCAAGCCAAAGAAGATTCATGCAGCCATCAACAAGTGTTGGAATCACTTGTTTGGCTGATCTGACTGGTAAACTTAATTCCTTCACTCTACTATTTTGTTACTTGTTTTTCAATTTCTAAGAGAGATAATGTGTTCCAATAGTCTGTCACAATAGCTCCATACCTGTAAAGTTCCTTTTCCTCAGGAAATCTGGAAGTTTCATTTATCTACTTTTGGCTTGGCGGAATTGTCAAAGAATAAGAAAGTTATCTTGTTAATCTTCCGGTGATATGTCAGTGTCAGGAATAGCATTTACAAATTCATGATAAGAGATAATACTTCGGAAAAGCTGGCATAGTTAAAATGCCTATGCTGATTAGTAACTAGCTAGGGTCTGTCAGTAAATATCTATAGAGGTGACAGAACTGGCAATCTGTGATAGAATAATGGTCATCCATGATCTAGGTGCTTCCAGTCCAATAGCTCGTATTCAGTGTGGATATATGTAAGATATAAGTATTAAATTTACATAAACCTCAATTTGAGCAACTAGAAATGCTACTTTCTTTTTTTTTTTTTAGGAGGAATACTGCTAATTTTTTTATGGAAAAACAACCATGTTCAGATCAAAGACTTGATTTTGCTAATACGGAGTGTTGATAAGGGATACTCTATAAGAACATAATATGCTGGAAGTATCTTCTCCCCTACCTCAACTTTTCTTCATGTAAGAAAGCCACTTGTTGATGGATGTTTAGGGGTTTGTCGCATTACCTTATTGCATTGTCACGAAAAAGTTTCTCATTTCAATGATTAGGGTCACTTTTGCCTTCTTTGAAGACTTTTTAGGAGTATTATGACGGTGCAAGGCAATAGATTACAAAAACTAAACTGGTTGAAGAGATGGTACTGGGACCCTCCCAATTTTGAAATTGAGCATTAATCTGATAAATGGAACTCGCATAGTAGAAGAAAATAAAATTGAATCAACTACGAAACGATCCTTTAAACAAGATGAAAGGTAGCAAACCCTAAAGTATTAAGCTTTATCGTTTCATATGACAAGCCATCAAGTTCCAAATTTCTATAATGCTGCATATCAGAAACAGGCCAATGCATCTTCAGTAGATTACCTATTTGTTATCACTGCATAAATGACTCTTTTACTTAAGTCTGATACTCAGAGTCTTCTTAGTTTTGCAGATTTATTGAGTTTTGGTGGAAATATTCCATCGTGTTAGTGATCCTGAAAACACTCTCTGAAAAGTTATAGATTTTAGTGTTTTCTTGTGCTCGGGGTGATTGAAGAGTTTCTATTGATGATAGTCTTTTCATCTTAGACATCACGTTTATGGTAATTATACAAACAATGGTCTGTGAAAAATGTATATAATTTAAAGCATCTCACCATGAATAATACTATCAACATGCAGGGGTTATTCAGTTGGCCAATGGTCTAAAGCTTCTGGGCTGTGTGAGAGACTTTTGTGAAAACACTCTCCTGTGTTTCAGAGGTTAGTTCACGCTTTAAGCTGTAAGCATGTTTAATTAGACTCTATTAAGTCTATCCAGGATGCATTTCTCTTTGGATTTTCTTCTCCTCTTTGGTTCAATCTCTTTCCCTACATTGATGGTTTGTTAAGCCTTCATTATTATACATCTCAGTATGCCATATGCTTCCAAGCTGAAGATTATGGAGATAAGAGGTTGCTCAAGAGAAATTTGCAGGCCTTGTATTTTCCTGGTGAAGGTAACTTTTGCCTAACCTATCTTCATAAATTTCTTATTCCTGCAAGTTTTGTACCTTGTAATTTTTCATTTTTGTGCTTATATATGCTTTCCTGATGGATATTTTTTGATCTAATCTGTGTAACTTGAAGTTTCAAAGGGTTTCAATGTGTCTCAAGTCATAAAACTTACCAAATGGCGCAATAAGTTGGAATCCTATTACATCATATAAGAAGATGATAGCACAAGACTTGAGCTTCGAGATGCCATCAGCAGTAGTTCCACTTGGACATGTTGGAACTTCAAAAGATGCTGCTGAGTATAACTAAGACATGGAATTTCAAAAGATGCTGTCAACACTAGTTCCACCAGAAGTAGATTTTTAAGCTACATAAGTGAATGGGCTATCAATTTTCAAGTCAGTTTTGCTTAGATTTAGATGAAACCTTAAGCTGAATTTGACTTGTTATTTTCTTGGACACCACTAAGACGTAAAAAGTTATGAATACGGTACTTAGGTTACTGGGAAAACTGATACTGTGAACTTTGCTTTGAATTTTTTTCCATCTCTTTTCGTGCAAGCTTAATTTATTGGCTGCGTTATTCAGTGTGACATAAATTTTTTTTTCAAAAAAAGGGCTTGAAAAATGAAAAGACGAAGGGGATTCCCTTTGCTGGCCAGGCACTAACGTGATGCATGATTGCACAAAAAATATGTTTATAAAGAAAAAGAAAGCAACATATTATACAAACTAAGTGTTGCTGAATGCCCCAGTAAAAGTTCAAGGGGAGGAGTTCCAGAAAACAATGATCATAAAAAGGCTTTCATGGTGAAGTGAATGGTCTGTGTCCTGTTAGGAACATAATTAGATGCATGCATGGCTCTGTTTTACCATGGTGCTGCTTATGTTTTGTGTCCTCAAGTGAGTGTCATATGCATTATTGGACTATGAGCCATAATATATGTGGAATATCCCCTAAATATGTGCTTTTGCTTGACATGTTTTTATTTATTTTACCTTTTTTTCCCTGTTTCTTGAGAAATGGAAATATATTATATCTTTATGAACTTTTGGCATTTACTATTATCTAAAGAAATATAATGCTTGTTGAACATATAATATAAAATGCACATGGTGAAGTCCAGAGAGTTAAAATTTGGACACCTTTTGGGAGGAAAAGATATGTAGTGTATTTTCACAATTTGCACAGCTTCAACTATCGTTGCCATCACATATATGAATAACAAATTGGCTCGCCAAATCTGATATATTGACCACAAAAACAAGCACTTGAATTGAATTGATGCTCAAAAGAGTTTTGAACTCATTGCTGAAACCACCAATTACCTCTGCTTGCCAGGAACATATCCCTATTGTAAAGCAGGTGCATTTGCAGCTTTTTACTCCAGATCTCCAGCTACCTATGTAGACAGAATTAAAAAATTGACTCTGTTGTCAAATACAGCTACAGTTATCATTTTGCAAAAGAAAACCTTTTCAGGTTATTGTTGATTTGTAATGAGAATTCTATCATACTGGTCAAGAAATATATTTATCTTGCTTTAGATCAATCGCTTATGTGCAATTTGTACTTCAAATTAGCTATCTTCTGTTCATTGACTAATTCTTAAATCATATTTAGATTCCTGATTTGAGCTTGGTTTTGGCTGGGATTATGGCTAGTACTAAAAGCCATACAGAAGGAGGAAAGGACTTATAAGATGCAACCAAAATCCAGTGAAGAATAAATTCTTTGTGGATGATCGAAGAATCCCTGCTGAAAAAGTGCATAATTTCTACTGGCATGAGGGTGGAGATGAGGCATGCAACGGTTCTCCTCGATTTTTTGAAGGTATTAGAACATCCGAAGGAAAGGAAAGGACTTATAAGATGCAACCAAAATCCAGTGAAGAATAAATTCTTTGTGGATGATCGAAGAATCCCTGCTGAAAAAGTGCATAATTTCTACTGGCATGAGGATGGAGATGAGGCATGCAACGGTTCTTATTGATTTTTTGAAGGTATTAGAACATCAGAAATCGCCTATATTGGTAATAATTGTATTGCTCCCTCTAACAAATTGAGTACGACCACCCACCCCGGCATTATGAACCGAAGAAGAAGAGGGAAAATTAAATAAGAGGACGAGCTTGTTAGTCACTGTTTGAAATATTATGTACTTCCTAGTTCAGTAGCGCTCGGGATCCTGAAGGATGCTTTTATGGTGGGCACAGAGTTACTGTCCCTTTGAGGGCATTAACAAGTAAAAGCATATTTCTTATTCTTCGGAGCAACTGTAGCATATCTCATAATGGGAAACCGAAGATAAAAGGGCCAGAGATGTGTATCATACGGAGGATGCTGATTGTTTGGTATACTATTGCAGAGAACAAGGCCTCTTGAATTTGCCTAATACATCCTTGAAATGCCTTTTTAGTTAATTTCGTCAACCTCATTGCAACATTGCTGTGGTGCAACCAAGAAGTTCAGGCAAATCTTAGTGAAGTTTCTTTGTATTGATTTTGGCAGATGTACATTTTCTAAAAGCGAACTTTGTATTAGAATATTTAGGGAGAAAAATACAGTTTTGGTACCTAAATTTTGACGCATGAGCGGTTTTAGTCCCCAAATTTTGGACGAAAGCAAATGTGGTATCCGAACTTTCAAATTTTGAGCACATTAAGTACCTTGATGATTTTGTCCCAAATTACTATCGGAAAAAGTCATGTGAAAGTCTCGTATCCGGCCACTATTGTATAAAAAAAAGCTAAAAAAAATATCAAATGTCATTCTAATATTAAGTATAAAGTTTAAGGACTAATAACGTAATAAAGAAAAAATCGAAGGATTAAATAAGATCACACGAGTCAATTTAACAATTTAAAAATAAAAGAAGAAGAAAGCATCACATAGCATCTGTTTCATCTCTTTTGCTTCGCTCTCCAATAAGAAACCCAGAAATCGAACTTCAACAAAAATCAAGTTGGCTCCAAAAATCAGCCTTGCAGCCGACGATATGCCAACATGCAGCAGAATTCCCAAATGCAGTATCTCTTCATCTTCACCGCACTTAACTTCTCTGGATCATTACAATTCAACTCACTTCAACATTGATAACAATTTCCATGCAGTGGCTGAACAAATCTTTTAGCAAGGCGTGAAACTCCATCACAGCACAAAGGAATTTTAAGTGTACCGTTTTTGTTCTCTATTGCTTGGTTGAGGTGGATGCTAGAAAACAAGAATGGCATTAAAGAAAAAAGAAAACATTGACGCATGTTCAGAATTTCTAATTCAACAATAAGGTAACAACAGAAAAGCTAACTGATTGTCTCCAAAACATCAAGTATGACAAAATTGTCTCGCAAAAATTGCCAGTTCGGCTATAGATAGCACCACCAAAACAAGGAGACATCCCCCTTCAAACTCTAAAGCCTCTGCTATTTCTTCTTCCCCTAGCTCTCTCAAATTTCCTACCCTTGGACCTAACATATGGTTCCAACAAGCACTGCAATTTTGTCCTCCTTTCCTTCCATGAACTTGACAAGCCTGGAGAGTGACAGAGGAGGCTTATTGATCTTACTCATGAACAACCTCTTCAGCAGCACAGCATTGAACCTGCTGCCTGTCCTCCTCTTCAAAGTTTAGGTACCAAAACTACATTTTTCTCATACTTAGGGAGCTGATTATGAAATTACAGCTGTAGTGTAGTCATTTATGGCCTAGAACTTGAGAAACTTGGTTGAAGCTCAACCTCCCACAAAGGATGAGCTTTGTTGTAAGAAAAGCTAAGGTCAGAGCAAGGCTGAACCAGAATATAAAGCAATTGTGCTTTCTTCCTCCCTCTTTGCCTGAGTATTCTGTCATACTGCATTAATGCTAGCAATATTCATTGACATCCAGAAGGTATGATGAAATGCTTGTAAAGGAGCAAATGGCCTTGCATATCCCTTTATCTGCTACTTTTTTTCCCTTCGTTCCTCATTTTATCGTGACAATTAATAATTTGCCATTTTTTTTCTCTAGTTTTGGATGTTTACATTTTGAATTTGTGCGATACCTGTGTATTTCTATAAAAAGAAGATGCTAATATCTTCCTTTTGGCTTTCAGTCACGTTTTAGCTCCACTCTGGTGGTTTTGTAAAACTTTATCCCTTTCTTGACTATTCAACTTATTTTTGATTTGGTTCATTGAATTGTTTTTCTATGGAGCAATTTACTAACAAGGAGACGAGATAAGGTTTGATTTTGTGGTGTCCACTGTGTCATAGGATTTCCTTGTTGTCAGAAGATTCCATATGGTTATGAGGGCAATTCTTTTTGTAGATGTGGCATTACAAAATGTACAAACTCTGGGAAGGATGACATATTCGAAGCATAGGAAAGGACAGGATGGCTATTTGCTAAGAAGATCAAGAGACTTGGTGCATTGATCCTCCAGATGCATTGAAACAGTGAACTTCGATTAGCATAATGTCACTAGAGCTGTTAAACGAATCAAACTGTTCGGTAGCTCGGTCCGTTTCGATTCGTTCGTGTTCGTGAAAGACTCGTTCAAAACCTTAAACGAATCGTTTGTGTTCGTGAAAGGCTCGTTCAAAACCTTAAACGAACTGAATTCGAACAAATTTTTTTGTTCGATTAATAATCGAGCAAACACGAGCACGAGTATGTTTGTGAGTTTTGACGAACGTTTACGAATATGGACATAATTGTCATTTGACAAATTTTAGGGTTAATTTTATGTCTGGACTTTTATATTTGGAGGACAATTGTTTTGTTTTATTTGTTATTTTTATGTTAATGTTGGTTATGTAGTTAATGAATAATAAAATTTAGTCACTTAGTGCTTTAATTGTTTTTGAGGATGATTAATGATTTGTATGACATATTTAAGACTTAAAATAATCTGGATTCGAGCTTTTTGAACGTGTTCGCGAACAGCTCATTAATGTTAAAAGAACCGAACCGAACACGAACTCGAACATGAACTTTGCTTAACAAGCCGAATACGAACACAGGTTTGGAGTTCGAAAGTTAGCGAACGAGCACCAACCTTATTCGAATTGCTTAACGAATAGAGTTCAAATATGATATACTCGGTTCAATTTAGCTCATTTACAGTTCTAGTCACTTTTGAGGTTAGGGTGGAGTTATTTTCCGGATATATACTTCTTTGTGGACCACGGATGCTTTTATTGCAGGAATTTTTGGAGCATTTTGATAAATTTTTTCTGAAGTGTAGACAAAAATGTCTTCACTGTATGTGCTAAAAAATTGAAGAAAAAACCTGTAGAATAGATTGAAATACTACTCAAATCGCTTCTCGACTTATGTACTAAAAAGGGAAGATTGCTGTTTAGAAATCATCAGGGGAAGACCACTGTGAGCATAGTTTATAGTAAGTCTCCTCTTTTCTCTGCTGGACATGATCATATGCATTTGAATTACAGATTGAAAAGTAAAGCTCTAAGAACCACCACCTTAATGTACCCGCTCAAAAGTGGATTTCTAGTGTTCGCAGCCTTGACAAGCAGCAGCCCATTTTACTAGCAAGTTTCTAACTTTCTCTGGGAAGGAAGCCAACCATTTTCCACTGCAATTACATTGTTGCAAGAGGTACAGACCACTCTTCAGTCCTGGTATTTAATGTACCTCTCCTGGTGTTTAGGGCTAATATGAGGTGATTGAAGCGCAACCTTCTCATGCTTCCTTTCCCATAAAAAGGAAAGAACTATATGTTGATAGAGGCCTCATTATGCCTTCACTGGGGAGCTCAGCTTCAGAGAGCAAGGATTTCAGGGTCAATTCTTCTCAAGAACTTGAAGATTTCTCCTCCTTAAGAGTGGTTTAATAAATGCGAGAATATCCTGGTTCACATATCACTATCGCTGGTTGTTTCAGATGTATGGCCTAATAGCTTGTATACCTTTGGTATACTGTATTTGTCATGTTACATTGGTTGCTTTCCACATGCACAAGTCAGATGAATTTGTCTAATAGATACAAGTGTTCTTTGGCCCCCAAAATCTCTAAAAAAATTCCTTCCTCTCTGTCTAGGCCTGGTATATGCATTAAACTAGACAAAGTTTGAGACATTTCTGGTTTAAAAAGGATAGTTTTTAAACTTTAGTTTCCATCAGACAAGGTTATTACTCTGCCTCTATGCTCTACTTCATGCACAAAAAAAATTTAGCTGCATGTGGCAACTCGACTGATAGTGTAGAATATTCTTGATTTGCCACCTCTTGGGGTAAAGATTTTTGGTTGGTGGAGAAAACCTCCAAAATGTACATGTATTAGGACAGAAGAATCAAAGGAAAAGGCACTGATAGAACACATTAGCTTTCCAAAGGATGTCAATCTCTTGATTAATGGTAGTCTGATTGGTTTTGCTGTTATCCACATTGAACTGCTGCAGACATAAGATTGTGTTTCTAATGTTTGAAGCACTGTAATACAGCGTTAATTGCTCTGTGACTTGTGAAAATTAATCAATTAGCCATTGAGTTTGAGCATGAAGGGGAAAGATTAATATATGCATCTGGCAATTCACAACCAAATCAGCAGCAACTTTACACAACCAGGAAACAAGAAATGGATACCATATCTGCCTTTTACATTTCTAAGGATACTTCATCCTGAACCTTGCATTGCATAACCACTGCAACAAAGGGTCTGAACAATTGTCAAGCACAATTGTTTCAGACAATCGATGGTGATTATTTGGGCAGAACAGCATATTCTTTTCCTCAAGTAATAAGATCATTCGCGTTGACAGACATTCTTGGAACGTACACTCGTATATTTTCTGAGTGTATGTAGAACTGGATAACAATAATGAGACTGTATAAAAGTTAATTTAATCTAGGGGTTGGGATTTCCTGTATCTTCTTCATCAACAGTCTTCGAGGATTTTTGATGAGCCAAGTCATAAGTAGCATGTAAACCAACAAAGACATAATAAATCAGCATTACCACTGTACATATTCCAAACCTCATGAAAGCCTCAGCACCTAAAGATCCCATGAGAAACAAATTTGTAGCAATGGATAAGGATGGCAGCCACGGAACAAGTGGAACACCCCAGACCTTTGGTGCTCTCTGCTGTGGCAAGAAAACTGAAATCCCCAGAGTCGCAAAAAACCAAAGAGGAATTGTTATAGTGTAACCCAGCCACCCTTTTGGATTTAAGCCCCAGTAAGCAGAAGTTCCCATGGAGGAAGCAATGATAAGAAGTAAGAAGATCATCAGCTTCAAGGCATCCCTCTGAGGAGTTATTCCTCTAGCATAGTACCTTCTCACAAGAAGGGCAACAGACATCATCATGAAGATAAATAGGGTGCTAACCGATAAGAGACTTGACAGGACACCTAAGCCTGAAAAGAAAGCGATACAGGAACCAGAAATGGTGATCAAAAGAGTAGCATATATAGGAGTTCCTGTCACCGGATGGACAAGTGAAAACCATGGAGGAATCATATGTGCTCGCGCGATGTGAGTAATGTATCGTCCTTGTCCAAGTGCACCTACCAATAAAACAGTGGTCATTCCCTTGAGAGCTCCCAGAGCAACCAGATACTTTGCCCAGTTCATACCCACACTCTGAAATGCAACTGAGTAGGCAGCATTTGGGTCAATATCTGTATACTTCTGCATCATACTAAGTGAAAGTGCCATCAGACAGTATATCACTGTGATCAGTGACATTGATCCAAGCAATCCTAGTGGTATATCTCTTGATGGATTTCTCGTCTCTTCAGCCATAGTTGCTATGTTGTCAAATCCTCCATATGCAAAATATACAATTGCTGCCGCTTGGAAGACCCCTTCAGCACCATGGGGCAAAAAGGGGGACAGATTGGTGGTATCTGCATGAGCAAATCCTGCTATTATAACAAATATAATTACAATGTTGTTGATTGCAGATGCAATCCAATTGAAGTATGAAGTCTTCTTTGTGCTGGTCATGGCAATAGTACTGGCAACTACGAGAACTACAACTGCAATTGGATCTAACAGGTTATATCCGTCAGCAAGATTTGTATGGATTCGCAATGAATTGGGATGGCGATTAAGGAGGGTTGTAAAGTATGAAGTCCAAGCTCTTGCTACTGCTGCATTTCCAACCATGCACTCAAGAAGTATATTTCCTGCTGCTATGAAGGCTGCAAAATCGCCTAGTTCTACTCTGAGGTAAGCAAATGACCCTCCAGCAACTGGAATTTCCACTGCAAATTCTGTGTAGCAAAAGACCGAGAGCATTGCAGAAATGCCTGAAGCAACATAGGATAACACAATAGCTGGCCCGGCATGCTTATGAGCTTCCTGGCCAGTGAGTACAAAGATGCCAGCTCCAATAACTGAGCCAAATCCAAACCAGATGAGATCCCACCAACTCAGGCATTTTTTCATGTCATTCTCACTTTCTTTCCTGACCTCCCCAACTTCATTAGCATCATCAGACCGACCTACAACACGGTCCTTGAATCGAATACCAGTCTGTGATAAGGCAGACCTGTAGTTACTCCAGCTCTGGAAGGATTCTTCAGGAAAGAAGTCTTTTTTGCTCCATCTCCAATAACTCCTTGGTTGAGCCTCATTGATGCTTTCTTTTCCCACTGACCCCATTTGCTAGCTTTTCTCCAGTGACTTGCTTTCAAGACTATAGCAAAGCTAGAGTTCAAGCTGTTGCTTATTCTATGCTTGTGTTTCAATTGATATTAGACTTGTTAAGGCCAGTTAATTACAGATGTGGGTAATCCAGCAAACAACTTGCAATTTGATATTCCGCGTGAAATAGTCAGATTAAATGCGTTTCTTGTCTTCTTCTATTGATTTTCCAAGATCCTGTCCTCTTTAATTTTTTCTATTTTCTCTAGTGTCATCTGATGTGGACAGAGGACCGCCGGCAATATCTCATCCTGATTGCTAGGTGCTTTAAATTGCAGTGGGTTTGCCTTCTATTATTACACACGTCCAAGCTGTGTGGTTCCTCTCATTGTTTGGCCAAATGCATCGTGGTATCTTTTCAAGTTGATTATAACCTTCTCAATTATACGCCTAAGTTGTGAGAGATGCATGCAATTCTGCAGAGTTTCAAACCTCCAAATAGAAGTCAAGACTCATGACGTATTCTTGATTGGTTCAAGAGTTAAAATCACTCTTTTTCAAGAGTTAAAAAGACTTCAGTGTGATTGTCTTGCTATCTGTTCATTTCCACAAAGCATTTAATTTATTTTTGGCTGTGGAAAACTTTGAACTGGTAGCTTTCATATTTTAAGGCTGTTTTATCCAATATCCATATTTTTGGTTCATATTGCTTTCCTTCATTTCATATTATTTCGATTTCTTGTTTCTTTGGGGTCAGTTGCTTTCTACCTCAACTTTTTCAGCCATAAAAATCTGAGAATGTTAGACGCAAAGATTGGTTTGAACCCAAAAAATTATAAGCAAGTGGCATGATCAGATTCATATGCCTGCATGCTCTTAAAGAATACAAGGACTAGAAGACAAAAGTGACAGCCAAGAATCTAAACTTAACATTTTTCTTTGCAATCGATTATGATTAGACTAGTAGACCAAGACTTCGATCATGGTTCATGGAAGAAAACATTTACATGACATTAACTTTTCTTTCTTTTCCTGTCCAGTTCCATACTCAGTACCTTATTTAAGTGGGGTGAACCACATTAAGAACTGTCTTTGACTTGTCAGGCCTCCTGCATTATCTTGAAAAGAATGAAGAGTCCCTTGATGTCTTTTCTTCTTCTTTTCCCCTCAATTCCTGAAAATCCCATATTCCTAACCATTTTGCCTAGGACCACTCTAATTTGTGACAATGAGAGATTATGTATGATGTTAATGACTTGTTTGTTGTCTGTATTGAAACATGGCTGCCAAGATGATCATGACCATTTCACACCAAATAAAAATTAAAGAGCAAGAAAAAAAATAAAAAGAAAGCGGGATCCGATGCCCATAAAACTATTTTGGGTTTAAAATTTTAAAAAAAAAATGACCCCTAATTGGGTTCAATTATTTTCAGTACTCTCTGTATCAGTGTCCAGTGAAAACGTTAATGATGTAGCTAATCATGCTCATTCATGACATATTTTCTTGGAATCCAGCCTAATTTTTTTTCTGAATGTATATAGGAATATGATAACAATAATGAGACTCCTGTATATGAAAATTTAGTTTGGGGTAGGTTTGGTTTTTCTGTATTTTCTTCATCAACAATCTCCGTAGATTTTTTATGAGCCAGGTCAAAAGTGGCATGTAGACGGACAAAGACAAATCAGAAGCAACATGAAGGTATTTTCTTCCAACCACGCTTTCAAGGAGTATAGTTGCTGCTGCTATGAAGGCTGCAGAGTCTACTAGTTCTACTCTCAGATAAGCAAATGACCCTCCGGCTGCCGGAATTTCTACTGCAAATTCTGTGTAGCAGAAGACTGAGAGCATTGCTGAAATGCCAGAAGCAACAGAGGACAAGACAATAGCTGATCCAGCATGATTGTGAGCTTCCTGGCCAGTGAGCACAAAGATGCAAACCAGATGAGATCCCTCCAACTCAGGCTTGTTTGACAAGAATTTTGAAGGGATAGGAACAAATTAGACATTGAAATTCTAATCAGTGATGGTCATTGATGAATAATGATACTCCATTATTTATTTTCTTGCATGGGCCAGGACGGATCTATTTTTTGACTTTTGGAACAACAATATGCAATTCCAAAAATAATTGCGACCCTCTTGTCTTTATAGCCTTTTTCAAGTCAAGGCAACATTTTGGAATACACAACGAATCAAAATACAAAAACTCTTGACTATTACCACCACCTTTTTCTCTTTTTCCTTTTTTCCGTTTTTGGTCAAGCACAAGACTCGAAAGCTATGGTTTCGAGGTGTAGAGTTGCCTTGTTCATGATTTATGTTTGCGGTTAATGAAGGAATTATTTGTGTGTCTGTTGCTTGGGGAGTTAAGAGTTTTATAGCAAATCTCCTTTTTCCAGTTAAAGAATTGGTGGCCTATCATTTGCACCATCATCAGAGTCTCATGTCTTTTGCCATTCCAAATTACAAAAGGGGAACTTTGTAACTCTCCATCTTTCACATTCACCTGAATCTTGTAATTAAGAGGCAAAGTTTGTATCCAACTGGAGTTGTATTAGGATTTTCTAGTAACCAAGTATGAAACTTTCCACCATCTTGAAGGTAGTTTTCCACCTGTTTTGTTTCCTTTTTGTTTACCTTTTCTGGGGTATACGGGAAAGTGATCACAAGTTCACAAGGCCTGTTATCACATTTTACATAAAACTGCAGTTTATAGAGCATGTAATCACATGTTAAACTTGTAGACGTACAAGCTAATAAACTCAAATGACTTCAAGACGACAGCAAATATACCACACAAATGCAACAATACCAATGGTGGCAGCAGCCAATAGCCCAGCACTGTAGAACACCGAATGGGTGAGATAATACAAGAGCAAAGGCAACAGTTTACCTCGCTATTGAAGCTAGCAAGGCTGACTACTGCAATCATCAGTGATAACAAAATAACAGTAAACTGTCAGTTTGAAAAGCCGCATTTTCAATACACTCTTCCAGATTGTAAAATTCATCATCTTGATAGGAAATTAGCAAGATGTGGGGGAAAACATAGCCCCTACAGGTAATCAACTCTCTTTTACCTAGATATGCTGTAAAGCTAGCATGTTATCTACTACTCCACATTAGCAGTAAGTGCAACACAATATTATAACTTACACATACTCTGTAGCAAAAAGGACAGGCAGCCACGAGCTTTTGCATGAAGATTTTCCCTTAAGGGATTGAATGATGGTTGAAAGCACTACTTATAAAGGCTAAGATTTTCTTTGCATTGGATCAAAGGTACACCATCTTCCCGCCAGATTATCCTTTCTTCACATAATGCTGCCACAACCTCTTTATACAATTTATGTTCCTAATAATAATACAAAAAAACCATGTCATCAAAGATGAAAATATCAGAAAAAAGGCGCATTGTAAAGAAAATTTGAGGTGAATTACAGAAAATTCAAATCACACTAGAGAGGGTGTCAGGCTTGAGCTTTTCTAATCCCTGGTCTTCCCTTCTATCATTTCTAGTCTCAATTCGAAGAAAAGCATGCACAGTATACATTGGAAGGAATGCAGTGGATAGGGGGATAGGAATACGGATGATAAGCCATAACAACGGTGAAAAAGTTCAACCAGGTGTCAATTTATTCAAGGCAGGCACTAACATGTTTGAGACAATATAAGTTCAAAAGCAAGAACCAATAATTGTGCCAAACAGATTAGCAATAAACTTTTCTTCAAGTAGTCATTAGTGCATCTGAATGAAACATAGAATTGCACATTTGGCGTGTAAAACCTTACATAAAACTTCATTACCTCATGAAGGACTCTCGCAGCTAGCTCTTCTGCTGTGTCATTAGGTAGCACGGGTACAATCCTTTGGGCAAGTATGCGACCCCTGTCATACTCCTCATCCACAAAATGTATTGTGGGGCCCGAGTATCTAAGAAACACCGAAAGAAATAACAGGAAATTACTTGCTATATGAAAGGTATAAAAATTTAAAGAAAAGTCTCTTGACTGAAAACAGCTAAGCCTAATAGAATTTTAACGGCAAAGATATGTTCTACATCCACGTAGAAGAGGAGTATATATAGACTGATGATCTCATGTTTCACAGTAAAAATCTCTTCTCACTAGCCGCTACCTTCCTCTTCTCCAATCATTTAAAAAAAAAGCATTGAAAATGGGAAACAAAGAGAAGAGAAGACCAAATATTTTTTGAGGCAAAGAGAAGCAAAACATGAGTTTGAAATACTTTAGTAAAGCATACATTGACAAATATCAGGTATCAGTTCAATGACAGGTTATGCTTGCACTATCGCAACCCACAAATAATGTTCTGACAGATAACTAAGCAACTTTGAAGCTCTGCCATTAGAATTGATGGATTTTACAAATTATCCAGCTCAGTCTGGAAACTCAAAAGCATTTTAATAGGTAAGGAGTGTCAAAGAGATTGAACTGCTGATAATACTCGTCATACATTTTCTTAACACTTTGAAGGAAAATTCCATCAAAGACAAAGGACTAACAGAACCAAAAGAAAAAGAAGTTAGACATCAACGACAGTGGGGAGAGGACTAACCTTGCTCCAGATGCAATGACTGCCTTATGCACCTTCATACCGTAATAACCTTTGCCTCCAAAAGCTGGAAGAAGTGAAGGATGGATGTTCAGTATGGACCTTGGAAATGCTCGAATCAACTCAGTAGGTATAAGCTTCAAGTAGCCAGCTAAGAGAATGAAATCGACCTTGTAGCTTCTGTCAAGTTCATGGCACAGGGAGAATTAAAAGAGAAATGGCGAAGCACGAATAGCCATTAACTTCTTTTTTCTTTCTTTTTTATGGATTCCTGATCTTTCTTGATTTTGCTTTTTCTTTTGTGGGTTAATTCATCTTGTTTGGATGGGATGCCGATATAGAGGATACCATTAGTGATTGATAAATGTACTAGCTGATGACAGAAACTTACTTAGCATGGATCGGTTTCACAATTATACATTCATATCCATCAAGATATGCAAATTTTCAAGGACAAATTTCAGAGAATAATTCATGCTCTTTGGGGAAGGAGAAGTACATTATTATCATCCAAGCCTCTTAGATTACATCACTTTCGTAACTTGAATCACGCACATCTATCTTCATTGCCTTTCCATTTCCAATT